CCTTAGTAGTGGAGACTTAAGCATCAACAAGCTAGCTGGACTAGAGAAATCTAAAACAACACATCCAATCCCAAACCTACAATCCTGTACCAAGGCGCTAGTACAGCCAGGCCCAGACTAGAGTGAGAAAGACCTGCTCTGGGAGGTTTACCACGAGAACACAGAGACCCGAAGGCTTAACGTGACTCAACAGCTAGCATTTTACTGGGGCTTACCCCAAGCAGGGCCGTGTTCTAACTCCTTTTTTTACAAATCTCATGTTCTTCACAACCCTACCTCTAGAGCAGACACCACTATTACCCAGTTTATGCTGGGAAACTGAGGCACAAGCAATTAGGTAACTTGCTCACAATTACATAGCACGTCTATGATAGGGAGAATAAAGGAAAGACATAAGATTTTTTTAAAAGATTTATTTGTATTTATTTGAAAGACAGAGTTACAGAGAGGTAGACACACAGAGAGATGTCTTCCATCTACTGGTTCACTCCCCAAATGGCTGCAATGGCCAGAGCTGAGCCAATCCAAAGCCAGGAGCTTCTTCCGGGTCTCCCACGTGGGTGCGGGGCCCAAGGAGTTGGGCCATCCTCTACTGCTTTCCCAGGCACAACAGCAGGGAGCTGCATTGGAAGTGGAGCAGCCAGGACTCAATCGGTGCCCATTTGGGATGCGGGTGCTGAAGGCCAGGGCTTTAACCCGCTGTACCAGAGTTGGTCCCAGGACATAAGTCTATGTCAGTATTCCAAATTTCAGAGACTCAGGGCAAAAAAACAAAGTTAGGTGTAGGTAGGGATTGGGAGGAAGAGGTAATGGGGTCTGAAATAGAGGTGAGACCAGGGATATTCAGTTGCCTGCTGACGCCAGGGAACCGGAATTCAGAGAAAAGCACACAAGGTTGAGTGCAAGCTGTCCACAAGACGGTGAAAGGTGATGGCACGACAAGGAACCCACTCCGTAAGACAGGGTGTGGGGAGAAGAGCAGAGGGCAAGACTGAGACTTGAGCAACACACAGTATCCCAGAGCAGGGAGACGCAGCCAGCAAAAACAGGAGCGATCAGATGAGGCAGTGTCTCAACTGGTGTGCCTGATGCCGTCCCCCAGGGCCTCAGGGTGGCCAAGAGCAGAGTCTGCCACTTGGCTCTGCCCAGGTTCTCCCATAAAAACAATTCTGGCTATAACATAAAAAAATGCCACAAACCAGGAAGACATGAGATCCTAAAGCCAAGGGTAAGGGGTTTAAAATGAGGTGATTTAAGAGTACCAAATGCTGCCAAGTTCAAGAGATAAAAATAAATGATAACAATAACAGCGCCACAGGCAATGTTCACAAGTCTGCAGCAGTGACATCAGAGCAGGGGCTTCAAAAAGTTGGAAAAATGGGCCAGCACTGTGGCACAGCTGCCACCTATAGTGCCAGCATCCCAGACGGACGCTGGTTCGAGTCCCGGCTGCTCCACTTTTGATCCCGCTCAGCTAATGTGCTTGGGAAAGCAGCAAAGGATGGCCCCTGCACCCACATGGGAGACGTGGATGAAGCACCTGGCTTCAGACTGGCCCAGCCCCAGCTGCTGCGGCCATTTTGGGAGTGAATCAGCTGATGGAAGAATCTCTGTATCTCCCTCTCTCTCTCTGACTTTGCATTTCAAATAAAAGAAAACAAATTTTTACAGAGTTTGTAAAAGAATGGAATTAAAAGATATGCGGCAGTGGGGGGTGGGGAGGGTGGTGGCAGGGTGCTGTGGTGTAGCAGGTAAAGCCGCGGCCTGCAGTGCTGGCATCCCATATGGGCACTGGTTCAAGACCCAGCTGCTCTACTTCCGATCTAGCTCTCCACTATGGCCTGGGAAAGCACTGGAAGATGACCCAAGTCCTTTGGGCCCCTGTACCTGCGTGGAAGACCTGGAAGAAGCTCCTGGCTCCTGGCTTTGCATTGGCCCAGCTCCGGTTGTGTAGCCAACTGGGGAGTGACCCAGCGGATGGAAGACCTCTCTCCCTCTGCCTCTCCTGCTCTCTCTCTGTGTAACTCTTGCAAATAAATAAATAAATAAATAAATATTAAAAAAAAAATAACCACAGCCCAATCATACTGAATTCAGGACGCTACTGCAATAAAAGGAAACTAGGCGAGAGGCAGCAGGCTCACAGCGAGACAGGGATGCCGGGCGAATACTGCACTACGGAGAGGGACGGACAAGCAACACATCAGGGGCAGGGTTTTCACATGGCGCCCCAGGGAAGAGTAACTATGGAAACGTCGCAGAGGGTTCCAAAGTGTGTGGCGACCGTACACACGCTCCACGTGACCGTCCCGTCGTTTCCACACCTCTGTCCCCTGCCCTCTAGGCCCTGCTTCCGAGTGCAACTGCTAGCTTTCTAAAGAGAAGGCGAGCCCGGCATCCGCGCAGCGCCATCTTTAACTCCCATAACCAAGCTAGGAGGCGGCTCCCAGCCTCAGAGGTGGGAAGCGGAGTGACTGCCCAGGCTCCGCAGACAGGGCTCAAGCCCAGGAGTCTGTCGCCTCTCAATCAGTCGCTAGGGAATGATGGCCACTGCTTCACAGAGGAAATGACTGGCTCAAGCTCACGGGGAATGGACCGCTTGACAGAGCAACAACCGCCGTCTAATGCACCCCACTCGACAACAGCAATGGGGAGGTGGGCAGGGAAGACGAGGGGAAAGGACCAGAGGGCGGGGGACAGCACTCCAGTGACTTCCGAGCTGGGCCTGATGCCCGGCCCCAGGGTCTTCCTTTAAATTCTCAGGACAGAATCGGTTTACACACGGCCAGAGTTCATTCTGTAAAAGCGCTAAGAGTTTCATCTAATGCAGCCAGCGTCTTCCCGCGGTTCATCAGCGAGCAACACGTGTAGCAGGAGGCTCAAGTATGTCACCTGACACTTGGGGGCTGACCTGGCTTTGATTACGTTTTAAAATTTTATTTATTTTTTTTAATTTATTTTTTAGGAAATACAAATTTCCTAAGTGCAACTTTAGGACTACAGTGATTCTTGCCACCATACCCGCCCTCCCACCCGCACTCTCACCCCTCTTCCTCCTCCCTCTCCCCTTGCCATTCTCCATTAAGATCATTTTCAGTTAGCTTTGCACCCAGACCAACTTTATACTAAGTAAAGATTTCAACAGTTTGCACGCACACACAACTGTCTGAGAACTAGTTTTACTATTAACTCTCAACACAACTCACTGAGAACAGAGGTCCTGCATGGGGAGTCAGTGCACAGTGACTCCTGTTGTCAATTGAACAACTAACACTCTTACGTATGACCTTGACCACCGGAGGCTCTTGCCTAGGCTATGGAAGTCTTCTGAGTCCACAATCTCCACCAGTATTTTTTTTTTTTTTTTTTTTTTGACAGGCAGAGTGGACAGTGAGAGAGAGAGACAGAGAGAAAGGTCTTCCTTTGCCGTTGGTTCACCCTCCAATGGCCGCCGCGGCCGGCGCGCTGCGACCGGCGCACCGCGCTGATCCGATGGCAGGAGCCAGGAGCCAGGTGCTTTTCCTGGTCTCCCGTGGGGTGCAGGGCCCAAGCACCTGGGCCATCCTCCACTGCACTCCCTGGCCACAGCAGAGGGCTGGCTTGGAAGAGGGACAACCGGGACAGAATCCGGCGCCCTGACCGGGACTAGAACCCGGTGTGCCGGCGCCGCTAGGCGGAGGATTAGCCTAGTGAGCCGCGGCGCCGGCCACCACCAGTATTTAGACAAGGCCATGAGCAAAGTGGAAGTTCTCTCCTCCCTTTAGAGAAAGGTACCTCCTTCTTTGATGGCCCGTTCTTTCGCTGGGGTCTCACTCACAGAGGTCCTTCATGTGGGACATGTTTTGCCACAGTGTCTTGGCTTTCCATGCCGGAAACGCTCTCATGGGCTTTCCGGCCAGACCAGGAAGCCTGAAGGCCTGATTCTGGCTGACCTGCCTAGCAGGTGGAAGCTAGCCTGCAGGCAGCGCGCTGGGCACCAGAGGCGACCTCTCTGGGGGACCGCATCCAGCCATCAGCTGCCATTCTCCAAGGGGGCAGAGGGGAAAGAACCCCACCCGGAGAGCAGGCAGTAGTGCAGTCCCCGCTTCTGATCACAACTGGGGGTTGCAAACTTTGCTTAGAAAAACTCGCACTAGGCCAGCGCCACGGCTCACTAGGCTAATCCTCCGCCTAGCGGCGCCGGCACACTGGGTTCTAGTCCCGGTCGGGGCGCCCGATTCTGTCCCGGTTGCCCCTCTTCCAGGCCAGCTCTCTGCTGTGGCCAGGGAGTGCAGTGGAGGATGGCCCAAGTGCTTGGGCCCTGCACCCCATGGGAGACCAGGAGAAGCACCTGGCTCCTGCCTTCGGATCAGCGCAGTGCGCCGGCCGCAGCACGCCGGCCATTGGAGGGTGAACCAACGGAAGGAAGACCTTTCTCCCTGTCTCTCTCTCTCTCACTGTCCACTCTGCCTGTCGAAACAACAACAACAAAAACAAACAAAAAAACAAAAAGAAACCTCGCACTGGGAAATCCAACTGGCAGGGCCTCCTGGCCTCTTCCCCGGGCCATCAACCCTCTTGGCAGGACGCTGGGTTTCGCCAGAAAGCTCATTCTTCATGCAAACAGGGGGTCGTGAGAAGTAACGTGCTAATTCACGGTGACACCTCCTTCCCCTCCTGGGGCGGGGCGGGGGGGGGGGGGGGACCATGACTTGCACACTCCCTCTTCAAAGGCTGAAGACTATAAAAAGTCCGGGAAGGGCGCCGGGGCGTCTAACGCGCTATCGTGAGCTTCAGTCTCAACTCCCCCGGCCGCGAGGACCCGGCGTGCGTCCACGGAGGGGCCGCTAAGGGCCTTCGGTGCCCAAGCCTTCACACGCCGACCACACTCGGGCAGCTCGTCGGGCCCAGGGTGGCTGCAGACTACCAGGACACGGCCAGGTGCGGGGTCCCCCTCGCACGGCCCCCCAGGGGGCGAGGGGCCCAGAGCGACCCCCCAGCGCCGGCCCAGCGCCACTCACCAGGAACTGGAGCATGATGTCGGCCGGAGGAGCGGGGACGGCGCAGAAGGCGGCTGCAGCTCCGCGGGCCGGTCGCAGCCTGCCTCCTCGGGCGCGACGGGCGGGACCCGCCGGCGACTTCCGGGTCACGCCCCGCCCCCGCCCCGCCTACCGCCTCAACGCCCGGAAGCGGCTCGTGACGTCCCGACGCCCCCTGGCGGAAGTGCCTGGGATCACCACCTGTTCCGGCCCGAGAGGACCAAGGGCCCCAGGAGTCTTTTATGGCCAGCTCGCCAGCGGCTGTGATGCACAGCCAGGCCTAGGGCTCCCTGGCCTGGGAGACGGGCTGAGGCGGCGGGTTCCATCCGGGGGTGCACAGCCGAACGGCCTGGGGGCTTGGGTGCCATGTTCCACCCGGGCCCCAAGCGGACTGCGGTGGACTGGAAGAGGCTTGTAGTGCCCGGGCTGCTTTGTAACCCGAGTGCAGGACCCATGAGACGGTGGGTGCCTAAGTAGTCAGGATGGAAGCAGAGTCCGGCACAGCCTGGCTGCCTTTGGGCCGCCCAGCACGAGCGAGCTGTTGAAGTTGGTTCCTGCACCTGTCATCTCCCTTGTTAGCATCGTGGAGACCCGATGAGGTCATGTGAGCGACAGGAGATGACTGCAGGAGCCGTCTCCAGTCCTCTGCCACACTGAGGGCCAACCCTGAAAGCCTTCCTGGACGCACACCTCCAGAGGCAAGACCACTCTGCCCTCTAATCCCGGTCTTCTGAGTGCACACGTGTCTGCTCTACTAAGAAGGACTCTGGTCCCAAGTAATTGAAAAAGAAAATCATGTTAGCCTGAGCCAAACAGGAATGCAGGATACAGAAAGTGAACGACCACGGGGAACAGGAAAGCCGTTAGGAAGTTAAAAAGAATTTTCTGTTTTCTGCCCCCACACCTGGCCCCAACTCCCTGAATACAGTCACTGTAACTGACTTGGATTTCTTACTTTCTAAAAAAATTTTCAAATTTATCTCTTTGAGATTTATTTTTTTATTTCAAAGGCAGAGTTGGGGGGGGGGGGAGAGCAAGACCTTCCATCCACTGGTTCACTTCCCAAATGGCTGCAATGACTAAGGCTGCGCCAGGTTGAAGCCAGGAGCCAGGATCCCCACGTGGTCTCTCACACAGGTCTTCTTCTGCTGCTTTCCCAGGCACATCAGCAGGGACCTGGATTGGAAGTGGAGCAGCTGGGACTCGAACTGGTGCCCACCTGGGATGCCGGCACTGCTGGCGGCGGCTCTACCTGCTACACCACAGTGCCAGCCCCCAGATTCTTTCTTATGGATCCTCACAAAAACACCCCCTTTTAGACTCATGCTTTTCCTTGACCCCTCCTTGCGCCTTTCTCCATTGACTTCCTAGACCCCCCTATTCAGTAAAATGTTAAACCTTCCGTGGGAGGTAATTTGGCTCAAACTATTAGGAGCTTAGATGAACAAATGTCCCAGTGATTGCTGATTGTGTATGGTCAAAATTGTTTCACTGTAGCAAAAGGCTGGAAACAATGGAAATTAGGAAGGAACTGATTAAAAAATTGTTGTTAAAATCTGTGTGACAGGAGTGAAAGGGGCTCTATGTTGATTTAGAAAGATATTTGGGGATCCTGGCCTTGTGGTGTACTGGATAAGGCTGCTGCCTACAATGCCAGCATCCTATAGGAACGCTGGTTTGTGTCCCAGCTGCTCCACTTCCGATCCAGCTCCCTGCTAATGGGCTAGGAAGAGCAGTGGAAGATGGCCCAAGTGTGCCTCCCACGTGGGAGACCTGGAAGAAGCTCTTAGTTTCGGCGTGGCCCAGCGCTGGGCACTGTGGCCATCTGGGGAGTGAACCAGCGGATAGATCGCTCTCTCTCTGTGTCTCTCCCTCTCTGTAACTCTTTCAAATCAACAAATAAATCTTAAAAAAAAATTTCTTTGGGATTCACATTGCGATGCAGCAGGTTTTACGCTGTTACCAGCTATTAAAATGCCGGTTGAAGACCCAGCTGCTCTGCTTCTGATCCAAACTCCTGCTAATGAGCCTGGGAAGGTGGTAAAACATGGCCCAAGTGCTTGGGCTCCTGCCACCCATCTGGGAGACCCAGGTGGGAGTTCTTGGCTTCTGGCTTCAGCTTGGCCTAGTGCTAGCTGTCTTGGCCATTTGGAGAGTAAACCAGTAAACGGAAGATCGATCTCTTTCACACTCTGCCCTTCAAATAATGAACAACATATATACATTAGAATATAATTTTTTTTTGACAGGCAGAGTGGACAGTGAGAGAGAGAGACAGAGAGAAAGGTCTTCCTTTGCCCTTGGTTCACCCTCCAATGGCCAACATGGCTGGCGCGCTGTGGCCGGCGCACCGCGCTGATCCGAAGCCAGGAGCCAGGTGCTTCTCCTGGTCTCTCATGGTTTGCAGGGCCCAAGCACCTGGGCCATCCTCCACTGCACTCCCTGGCCACAGCAGAGAGCTGGCCTGGAAGAGGAGCAACCAGGACAGAATCCGGCGCCCTGACCGGGACTAGAACCCGGGGTGCCGGCGCCGCTAGGTGGAGGATTAGCCTATTGAACCGCGGCGCCGGACAGAATATAATTTTTAATAAACTTTATTTTCATTGATATTTAACATAATTTCAAAGTGGATCTGCGCTCTAAGATGAGCAAAAGAACACATAACACATATCCTAAATTTCATCGGAGGTTTTTCACTCCATTGTTTTGAGTAGGGCGTGGGGTTTCAGGGCCCCAGTGTTGACCCTTACCATTCTGCAGCTTGAGCTTTGACCCACACATGGAGAAAGAAGAGAGAACACCAGCACACACTGGATGACAGTACCGCTAAGTCCTGGTGTTACACATCTGCCACCTTGTACGGCTGTGAGCTAGTTCTGTGTGTACTCAGAAAGTCAAAGTGATGACTTAGACCCAGCTGCAGTCGGAACTCGCTGCTTCCCAAGCTTCTGTTTGGTTGCAGGTTTTACACTTTTTCCTTACAGGATAGATACTTGCATTGACTTAGGCTTCAACAACACAGACTGATGCCATGGTTTCAATCACACTAAAACTCAAAGGATACCTGGGTAATTACGGACCTGCCCAACAAGTGGGTCCACTGCATTCCCACAGTCTGCTGTTATCTGCAGAACTGGGGTAATGAATCATTTTCCCATAAAGGCCCCAAGAGGTAAGGCTTTTATGGCACAGAGCTGTCCCTGGGTCACAGCATTTGTTGAAAATTCAGGCAAGTGACTGCACACCTTTACAGTGCAGATATCTCAGCTGACTGAGGCCTCTGCAGTCACTCCGTGTTTTTGTTTTGTTTTGTTTTTAAGGCTTATTAATTTGAAAGAGCCACAGAGAGGAAGAGAGAGGGAGAGAGAGAGAAAGTGTCTTCCATCTCTGGTTTACTCCCCAAATGGCCACAATGGCCAGGGCTGGGCCAGGCTGAAGCCAGGAGCCACATCAGGGTCTCCCATGTGGGCAAAGGGCCCAAGCACTGGGGCTGTCTTCTGCTGCTCTCCCAGGCACTCTAGCAGGGAGCTGGATAGGAAGTGGAGCAGTTGGGACTCGAACAGGTATCCTTATGGGATGCTGGTAGTACAGGTGGTCGTTTTACCCACTATGCCAAAATGCTGGCCCCCGTTCCATTCTTTTTTAAAATTTTAAAAGGTTTATTTCTTTGAAAGGCAGGGTGACACAGGGGGAGAGACAGAAAGATCATCCATCTGTTGGATCACTCCCCAAATGCCCACATGGGTGGCAGGGGCCCAAGTACTTCAGCCATCATCATCTGCCTTCCCAGGCACAACAGCAGGAAGCTGGATGGGAAGCAGAGTAGCTAGCACTCCTAGATGGGATGCAAATATCCTAATCAGCGGCTTATAACTCACTGTGCCACAACACACACCCATCATTCCATTCCAAATCCACATTAGGAAAATATCCTTAAAAACATTTAGGAACAAAGTGTCATGATGCCTACAACTTGTTAAGGAAGAAAATCGGTATGTATGTGTGTGTATAAGGAATGAAGGTGGGGCCGGCGCTGTGTCACAGTAGGCTAAGCATGCACCTGCAGCGCCGGCATCCCATGTGGGCAGCACTTCCTGCCCCAGCTGCCCCCTTCCGATCCAGCTCTCTGCTGCGGCTGGGAAAGCAGTAGAAGATGGCCCAAGTGCTTGGGCCCCTGCACCCACATGGGGAACCCTGAGAAAGCACCTAACTCCAGCCTGGCCCAGCCTTGGCTATTGCAGCCTTTTGGGGAGTGAACCAGCAGATGGAAGACGTTCCTCTCTGTCTCTCCCTCTGTAACACTCTCTCTCAAATAAATAATTAATTTTTAAAAAAGAAATGAAGGTAACGTGCCAAATGTTGACAACAGTTGCATCCAGGTGATTGGTACCTGAGTTCATTGGGGAGAACACCCGAATATTTGGGAAAGGACAGAGTGTATATGAGCTTTGCTAGCACAGACAAAAATTTTCTATATTAACAATTTGTCAAAACTACAATAACAAGGGTACAAAATCCTGATTTCTAAACCCTGCTTGATTGAATCAGTAAAAAATGATAGCTTTGAGTTCTACTTTTTTTTTTTTTTAATTTTAAAGGCAGAGTTAGAGAGAGAGAGAGAAGATATCATCCATCTGCTGGTTCACTCCCCAAATGGCCACAAATGCCAAGGCTGGGCCAGGCCAAAGCCAGGAGCCTGCAGCTCCATCAAGGTCTCCCACATGGGTAGCAGGGGCACAAGTAGTTAGGCCAGCCTCCGTCTGCTGCCTTCCCAGGTGCATTAGCAGGGAGCAGCCAGGAACTGAAGCTGAGGAATGAGCGAGCCCAGGCTTTAAATGCTAAAACACTAAAGACACTTTTGTTTTGATAGGCAGAGGTTGATCTTCGACCTGCCGATTCACTCCCCCAAAGCCACAACAGCTGGGCCTGGCACTGCTGAGACCAGGAGCCTGGACCCCAACCCCGGTCTCCCGCAGGGGTGGCTGGGACCCAAGCACCTCAGTGTTCACCTGCCACCTCTCAGGGTGCACACGATCAGGAAACAGGAACCGAGAGCAGCGCCTGGACTTGAACCGAGGCCCTCGAAACGGCTTGCAGGCATCTCCACTGCTCTGGCCAAACGCCTGCCCCTACATGCTGAAACTTT